AAAATGTGGAATAAAACCCACATATTGAATTGGAACCTCAAGAGTTGGTTCTGGCCAGCTCAGTGGATTGCTTTAAAAAATGCCTGGATACTTTCTTGGATACACAGAATATAATTGGTTACTAACATTTATAGGTAAAGTTGATCCAGGGAATATCCGATTACCTCTCAGGGGATCAGGAAGGGATTTTTTTCCCCTGCAGGAGCAAATTGGATCATGCTTTGCTGTTTTTTTTTGCCTTCCTCTGGATCAACTGTGGGTATAGGATTATAACTGTTTTTTTTTACTGGTTGAACTGGATGGACTTTAGTCTTTTTTCAGCCAGACTAACTATGTAACCCAACAAAGGTTCTGACCCTTGCATATTTTACTGAAAACAACATTTTTTGCAGCCTGTGTCCCCACACTTCCTGAATAGGGTAAATAAAAATCTGACATACATTCTATCCCTTCCCTACTCTCTCTGCACTATAATATAAGATTTATTTTACACTTATAAAACATGCACAAATATACTTTAGTTATTGGTGTAAATATAATGTTTCTTACTGTCTAACTTATGTTATTAAAAATAATAGAATGGTCATCTACCATGTTACCCCTGCATCTTTTTTAAATCATCAACAATGAATCACCATCAGATCAGTTACTCTCTGGCCTTCCTCCCAATTTGTTTTATTTTATATCATCAATGATAGAGAGGAGGATGGTTTTAATAACATTTGCTTTATGTCAGGAAAAAGTAAATTATTGCATATTAATATTTTTATTTGGGTTTCAAGGCAGCTGGTGGACCTACAGTCTTTTTTGCATATGTTTTCCAGAATATCCATTGCAAAAATAAAAAAATTGGGGTTTACATAGCTCAGTATCTCAAGCTGACACACATGCAGTTGAAAAAAACAGAGCATTGAGTCATCTGTCCACCCTTCACCTCTCATTTGCCTGTCAATAGAGCTCCCTATAAAGACCAGACAGAAAGAATGAGTCTGAAAATAAACACCTTCTGCTGTACTCTCCTTAGAAAACCCAATGAGGCTTGATAAATCCAGTGTCATGCCTGCTAACTGTAACTGATTGGGGGCAGTAAAAAACAGCCCTTGGTTTGCTGAAGCACTATATGTCATAAACCAAATCTTTAATAAAGTACTGTTCTTACCCTTTTTTCATCCTTTGTGTTCTTACCCTTTTTTCATCCTTTGTTGCATTGCAATGCTGCTGATCTCATGCATCCTTATTGGCAGTTACTTCGTATTGTGTGAACTCCAAAGATTGGTGCATGATATTTTTTTCAGGGTGCATTTTCTGATGTTGACAACGTTGTACCATACCTGTGTAATGTACATTGAAACAACCACTTGTAGTCTCCTTCAGAAGCCGGTGTGACAGGGAGGCAACAAAGAAACACATTCAGGAGACAGGGACAGAGCATTGAGAGCCTATAACAGGAAGGACCTAATAAGACCTTCATGGCAGAATCACCAGCGGTTATTTCAATGAAAGCTGAACATTTCTAGATATCAGAAATGACATAATAGCATTAACATGTTAAAGTAGTATAAGCTCTGGTTCGCACTGATTGCAACTTTGAAATTGCGCAGGTTCACTTGACTTGATTTGAATCTCCGATTTCACTGCGGCTTGCAATGAGTCGAAAAAAATGTATGACATTTTTGGAATCTCGCTACTTCAAATCCCACTGATTAGGTGCCATAGAAATACATTAGAGTTGACTTCAGGTGTGATTTGTTCATCGCATGTTGCACCTGAAATTGTACTGGTGTGACCCAAGGCTTAAACTCAAAAACAAACATTTATTATTTTGCAGCCTAACATTTCCTAAATGTGACGGGTGCATTAGGTGCCATAGAAATACATTAGAGTTAACTTCAGGTGTGATTTGTTCATCGCATGTTGTACCTGAAATTGTACTGGTGTGACCCAGGGCTTAAACTCAAAATAGATATTATTTATTATTTTGCAGCCTAACATTTCTTAGATGTGATGGGTGCATTCGTTTTTGTTTTTTGTCTTTCTTTCTTCACTTTCATCTGGTGATCCAGACAGTAAGTCTGTTGTTTTTCAAAAGAACAAGCTCTCCAGCAGAATGTATTCGTTACAGAAATGAGATGAACCAAATAACACTAGTAGGGGTGCTTACAATGATTAGCTTTTATTTATGTAAAAGCTTTATTCAAAAAAGAAACAAACTGTTTGCTGTGTATTTAAATCTGCTAGTACATCTAACACTCCATCCCCCTTCAGACTGACAATGCTGCTTTTCAAAGGTGCCCCCTGTGCTCCTTCATCCAGAATGGGTGCAGTCTAATACAAGAAGTGTGTTTCTGGTCACAACACAAGGTGAATACAGAAGGAAAAAAAGCCTTAAAAAGATAACTGATGCAGCCACCACATCTAATGATTGGTAATCTGCAATATATTACATTTTTGGATTTGAGTTTAATACTGCTTTAAAGCAAATAGGAGATATTAATGATTAGGTTTACATCCCAAAAAAATGTCCAAAAACCATTACGGTTTCCCTTTAAACGACAATCTGTCTTTATGTATGGCCAGGTTTATTTTGAAAACTGGAATTTATCAACTGCTTATGGAGGCAGTTATCATAAACAAACAGTTACCAGTAATACAGGACATGTCTCCTCAGCAGCTGTACTTTATATGCTAAGCTTTGTGTGTCCAAAACTAAAACACCATTTTCTGAAACTGACTGATCCTCTTTAGGCTAGTAAAAAGAGTTGGCAGCAGGTGGATGTGGAGCAGCAATCACTTTCAAGAAACATTATTTCATACTTCTTGGCAAAGCAAAGAATGTTTGGCATGTGAAAAACAAGTAACTATCCATCTGCAAATGCAAGGCGTGGATGATAAAGTTTTTTTTTTCCCTCTGATAAAATGCCAGTGTATATACGTTTTTCTTGGATTGTTTCTTGGCTATGGGATGACATTCTTTGTGTTTTATGGCTTATTTTTATGGAAAATGAAAGCAAATATTACAAGGTATTTAGCGATACCAGACATGCCTCAGCAAGCTAAGATAATTCAGGCAAGAAAAATGTTTTAAAGAATTTTAATTAATTTCCTGTATTTGTTTTTGTTAGTAAACACAATTGCTTTCTCCATGTACAAGTAAAGCTGAAAGCAGAACTTAAAGCAGAGTTTCACCCATTTTTTTAAACTTAGACTTATTGTAATGCCCAGCAATAGTGTTGCTAACTTTGTATAGTAATACTTTGCAATATTCACAAAAAATACCTTTTTTAATGTTCCCCTGGACTTCTACCTAGGTGACTACGCCATCAGCCTCCCCCATTGACTCCTGGGAAATCTATGATATCCCAGGACTCTTTGGGCATCTAAGGCTTCTGAAAGTGTGCCTCACAGTGTCATTACTGCGCAAGCGCGAGACCAGAAGCTGCATGCTGGGTAGCCAGCTGCACGGAAACCCAGAAAAGAATGCAAGCTGGCTTCAGCTGCCCGCAGCTACCATGGCTGTGGCCGGAATCCAAGGGGAATAAAAACAACAAATGATTTGGTAAGTAAACTGAGAACAGAAATGTGAAGCAATGTCCAATGTGGATGATGTCATTTGCGGCCATGTTGAGTATGTTGTTATTATAATTTGACTTCTCAGACTGTAGCTCCTCTTTAACTGTATCTGGAGCACCACAAACCAAAAGCTTAAGATTAATTTTTAATATTCAAAGCAAGCTCACCCATCCATTCCTGTCCCCCATGCTTTATTTTGTTGATAAAACCACAGCCTAGCATTTTTTATGTGTAGCCATCTTGAATCATCTACCATTTACTTCCTGGAATCCATCTACACTTAACTCAGGTGCAGGCAGGAGTGCACGCTCAGTTAAGAAAACCTCTCTTGCAGATGAAAGTTTAAAAAAATGCCCATGGAGACTCTTGGGATGTATGACATCATTTTGGCCTAGGTCAGAAACCAGGAAGCAACTGAAGAAATGTGAAAAAAAATAAAGTTTAAATATAATATACCTTCCTATCTATTTACTAAGACTAGCCGCAGAAGAATTAAAATAGTTTTTGTTGATTGAGAGAGTAAAGTTCCAATTTAAACAACATGTGAATTGTGTAGTAATACACTCATAGTGCATTAATCTACCCTCCATAGCTCAACAAACTAACCTCAAATCCCCCACCCAACTGTTTATTTCAGCACGAGGTCCTCTACTGCTGTTTATATCCTCCAGATGGAAATCTTCTTCAGTACTGACCACTCTGGTGTAATGAGCCCCTATAGACTTGAATGGGGCCATATTCCCTCATATGACACTCGGAATGCCCCATTCAGGTTTATTGGAATAAGTCATTCCCAAGCAATAAGGACATTCATAGCATAATTAGCTATTTTGTGCAGACATTTGCATCGTGGGGATATTTATGTTTGTAAGTGAAATGGCAGTTTTAGGAAAGGAAGCATACTACATCTCCTCTGGTTACTGTAGGTCTCTGTCTAATAACACAGGCTGCATAGCCAATATGCCTGAAATCTTTAAAAAGCATTTTCAAGTGCAACACCCTCCTAGGTATGTCCTATGTTTAACCACTTGCCTACTGGGCACTTATACCCCATTCTTGCCCAGGCCAATTTCCAGGTTTTAGCACTGTCACACTTTGAATGACAATTGCGCAGTCATGCAACACTGTACCCATATGAAATTTTTATCATTTTTTGTGACAGATAGAGCTTTATTTTGGTGGTATTTAATCACCTCTGGATTTTTTCTTTTTTCTAAACAAACCAAAAACCACTGAAAATTTTGAAAAAAAAAGTTTTTTCTTAGTTTTTGTTATAAAATTTTGTAAATAAGTGATTTTTCTCCTTCACTGATGTGCGCTAATGAGGCTGTAGTGATGGGCACTGATAGGCTGCACTGATGGACACCGATAGATGGCACTGATGGGCACTGATGAGGAGGCACTGGTAGGTGGCACTGATAGGCATTGACAGGCATCACTGATGGGCACTGAAAGGCAGCAGTCATATATGGCACTGATAGGTGGCACTGATAGGCGGCACTGATAGGCGGCACTGATAGGTGGCACTGATAGGCAGCACTGATGCACACTGATAGGTGGCACTGACTGGCACTGATAGGTGGCACTGTTTGGCAGCACTGATAGGTGGCACTTACTGGCAATGATAGGTGGCACTGACTGGCACTGATGGTTGACACTGAAAGGCAGCTCAGATGGGCACTGATATGTGGCATTGATGTGACACTGATGGGCACTGAAATGTGGCACTTATGGGAACTGGCAGGTGGCATGGATGAACACTGACAGCTGGCACTGATGGACACTGACAGGCGGCAATGCTGGGGCTACACAGATCATCAGGGCACACTGATCATCAGTGCTCTGATGATCTGTGTACATGTCCCCTCTGAGGAATGCTGATAACCAGCATTTCCCTGTTTACATGTGATCAGCTGTGATTGGACACAGCTGATCACATGACCAAGCCGACATCTTCTGCTCTTTCCGTTGATCGGTGATCCGCTGTGTCCGAGGGACACAGCACATCGCTGCTCACCGCGCTGTGCGCTCCCAGAGCCGCGCATGCGCGGTTAGAATGGGAGGAAGTCATATGATGTCCTCCCAGAACGAGAGAACCGCCTTGCGCCCTCATTGTACTATATGTCGGGTGGGAGGTGGTTAAATAGATAGAATTAGTTGTGTTTTGATAGGTAGATTTAGTTGTCATCAAGTTGTTTAGTTGTTAGGTAAAAGCATAGGTAGCTCACTGTATTTGGTGAGCTGTGATCATTTAGTAGGTCTGCTATGTGTGCTCAGCTGCTGCCAGTCTGGACTAATAGCTCCTTCTGCATCCAAGAAGCTTTAGAAGTTTCTGGATAATGGGTGTGTGGGGGCTATGCAGATGGCAGCATGAATATTAATACAGCCCCAGCCTATCCCAGAGATACCGGCTCTGATGGCATGCTTGGTGGCTGTATTTATTCAGTGAGCACACTGAGTTCTGGGTCTTTCCTGTATAGGATTGTCCCATCCTGAGTGAGACCTGAAGGCCTGAATGCTGAGACCCAGGTTCTGCTGTGCTGACTGAGGGGATGTCTACTAAAGATCTGGTCTGGTACCACCAAGGAATGCATTCAGCTGCTCTTGGGCCTTATGAGTACAGACATGCCTAAAGGATCTTAGAGACTGAGTGCTGTTTAACCTCCTCTGTTGCTGGGAAATAAGCTGCGGGTCTAGCAAAGGGAACACAGGCTGGTGTTCCGAAGAGCTTTGTCCATCTGTCCTACTCCTTAACCCCTTCGCACCAACGTCACACAAATAAGCGGCCTCACAGAACTGGGCATTTTTCTGTGGGGCCGCATATTTGCGTACCTGTCTTTCTGCTGGGAGCGCACCGCACAGCAGGCTCCCAGCACAAAGACCGGGGTGTCACTGAGAGCTAATGATCGGGACCTGGGACTCCCGATTCCCGATCACATGATCGCTGTGATAGCCTCTGAATGGCTATCTCAGTGATCAGTCATTGTACAGCCCGGCCCTCTTGGGGGTTTTTTTCTCTCTATGAATGGAGGAGAGAGATACATTGTATCTCTCTAACTCTTGGCAAAGAGGGGGAAAAAATGTTTGTTAAAAAAAAGATAAATAAATAAATATTAAAAAATAAAATAAAACATTAAGAAAAAATACCTAGATCAAGGTTTGATCTAGTTCAGTGCCAGGGTAAGTGTTTGGGTCAAGGTCAGGTTCAAAGTTCAAGGTCAAAAGGTCAGGGTCAAAGGTCAGGATTTTTAAACAATTGGTATTGGTGTCAGTGTGTTTTAGGTAAAAAAAAAAAAAAAAAAGAAATGCGCACTAATGTTTTTGGCTGTACTACGGGTACAAACAACAAATAGCATACACATATATGGTATCGCTGAGATCGTTAAGAGCTGGAAAATTTATTTTGGGTTGTTCTTTGGTGGTAGGTTATGGTAGTAACAAGAAACACACAGCTAAATTTGAAAAAAATATTTTTTTTTTACTATTTTGGGCCAGTTTTTCTTTGATAATAAAAAAAATCAGGAGATATCCACTACCATTTACCACCAAATGAAAGCCCAATTTGTCCTTAAAAACACAAGGTATAATTTACCTGGATGCACAAAGTAGTTGTGATGATATGTACGGTTTTATTAACACATGTCACAGTTGCAAAATTGTGCTTAGGCATTAAGATTTGTTTTACCCTTAGGCGTGAAGGGGTTAAAGGGACACTGCTCTGGGGTTCTAAAGAAGTCACTACTACTACTACTACTACTACGGCCTCAAGCTAACGTCCACTGTTTGATTCAAACAAGGACAACAAAGATAAAGTCCTCAATGTATATATTTCCTTTTTTTGGAGTATCCCACTTATCTCCCTCACCCCTATCCAAGTTCACTTATCTCCCTCACCCTTATCCAAATTCTCCAAAAAATTGAAATAAAAAAACATTACTAGACTGGTTATTGGAGAAACCGTGTGAATGAACCTATGTGCTTGACTGTGGGGCAAAGTAACTAAGGAGGACCTGGACAGTATTCCTGTGGCTTCTACGGGAGTAGCACTACACAAGCAACAAGAATATGCCATCGGTGATTGGTGAATGCTATAAAGTAAATCCAAAAAATCTGCTAAAATTAAAAAATGTATTTAGTTAACCTTCCTCTACATTGTAAACAGCTTTAAGATTTTACAGACCATCCTACAGGGACAATTGATAGTAGCAGTGTACTTTTTGAAGTATGTGCTGGGTAACTTATTTTTTCTTTTCTTCCTACCTATCTAATTACATATAAACTTCCAAGGTTTTAATCTGTTCATTGGCTGTAAAAATTACTGTGCTTGCTCTGCAATGAGTTCCAACATCTCAAGCAGGTGCTTTCCCACATCGCCAGATTACCCACAAAAGAAAGGAGGAGTATTGAGTGGGTTGGATATTGCTCTTTACATGCATATCAAGGTTTAATTTCCCATTTCCACCAAAATGCACCTTTAGCATAACAAAACTCTGTATCAAGTTTACAATACATTTTCAATACAGATTTATGAGATGTCAGTAAAAATATTGACTTATCATTTAATTAAAAAATAAGAAGTTAATTCTAAAATGTTCTAAACCAAAATATCCACCTCCCAAAGTGCCATGGATAATATGCAATGATGTTCTTCTAAGATTGCAGAGTGTTTACCTTTGGGGCTTGCTGGCACAATTTCCAGATTATTCATGCTTATACCTACATCCAATGACAGCAAAATGTGCCTGCTTTTCAGATTTCAGAGGCTAAAAGTCCAAATATACTATAACTTTGAATGTTAGTGCAGCGCAATTTCTATGTAAGTAGGTATTCTGAAGGATCCTCTGTACATTTGAAAATTAATCAATTAAAAAAAAATAAGAAAAGGAAACTGTTTTAATTCAAATTACAAATGCCCTGATTAAAATATTAATATAATCATAATCATAATAATAATTTGATTAATAATTTCCATCACTTGAAATGTTTAGTAAAATAAGTATCTGAAAATATCATGTATTTTAGTGTCAGCTGCAATATCCTTAATACATTTATAAGACAATAAGGCTAATTGGTCGAATTTTGCATCCTATTATAGTGAACAACATTTATTATATTGCAGCTTACTAATTCTTAGGCATGATAGCTGCATTCTTTTTAGGCATTCTTTCTTTTATTTTCACCTAGTGATTTGGTCAGTAAATCTGATGTTTTTCAAAAGAACAAGCTGTCTTGTAGAAGTTAGAGGGTTGCAACAAGCCATTTATTACTGATAGAAGTGCTTCCAATGATCTTCTTTATTTATTTAAAACCTTTATTTTAAATGGAAAAAAAAGTGTGCGCTGGACCTTGGATTCAATTTGTTAGTGTATCTAAATGTACAAGTACATATAACTCTCCCCTTCCCCAGATTAACAATGCTGCTGTCCAAAGGTGCTCCTGCACTCCTTCTTCCACAGTGTAGTCAATCTAATACAGGAAGTTTGTTAGTGGTCAGATCATCAGTGATGGAAAGAAGCCTTAAAAAGAAAACTAATGCAGCCATCACATCAGGTGAATGGCAAGCTGCAATATTTTAAATGTTTGGTTTTGGGTTTTGTTTCTTTAACTAAATACAAGGTATTGCTAATTGATAGCTATTGTACCCCATAACTCCTCCAGCCTGGTTGGGCTTAATCTCTCCCCAGAAACTACCTGGAAGAACATCATACAATTATTGTAAAATATAGGTGGAATTGATGCAGGTGGCTTGCCTTTGTTTCAGTTCTTTTAAGGAGTTTTAGGTATATTTGTTTTGCATTACAAAACAGTAGCAATAAAGTCAAACACTGAAGCAACTAACTAGCTGTCAGTTCTGATATATTTATTTATTTCATGAACCCATATACATTTGCCTTTTTCCTCTCAAAAGCTACATTCATTTAAACCTGAACTACAGTAATGCATATCTAACAAGATTTAGTAAAAAGCAATACACAAAGTTGATCAGGACTTACACCAGTTTTGGAATTTCCCTTAACCATGGCCCCACAATTTGTTCAAAGCTATTTGGGCATGTCCACTAAGGACATTTTTTTGTTCTTAGATAAGATGTCAATGGTAATAATAACAAAAAAACTTTACATCTGGAATGAAAGTGTCCTTCCATTTCAATTTTGAGGCTTAGAAGAACAAAAGCTCTATTAGCTGTTTAGGTAATATTGTAAGCAGGTAGAGTTCCTGGAGATATGATAGATCAATGCCTAGAGTATTTGTTAGCAAGGATTGTATTTGTTGCTAAAAAGGTGAAAATTTAAAGCATTGCCAGGAGAACATCCACTGGTAAAACTAGGCCAAGTGATTTCCAGTTTATGAATTTTGGTGGTATTATAATATAGAACCACTGTAACCAAGTATTGTCAAAGAGAGAAGGAGTATGTGGTTGGAGAAAACACTCGATGCTCATCACCTGTTTGGGAACTGCTGATGAGCTTGGTAGACTTTCTAGGAGAGACCAATATAGTCAAAGTCTGCAATCCCAGCTGAGCCTGCATAGCATGTATAAGGGTAAGGTATGTATAAAAAGTGGTGGTGACAGCCCATCACAGCGGTCTCATGATCACAAACCCTGGCCCTCCTTCTGGCATGTGAAACCCCTTAAAGGGCCAGATTGTGCCGGTGCCCAAGGGTTAATATAAGTATAACTGAGCTGCCCAATAGTAATGTTGGGGATTTGGTGCTGATTTTGGTCTCCTATATCTTTATGGACATTCAGACTGAGTGTGTTATTGTGCGGCATATATGTTTCTCATTCCATATA